GACAATGTCTTTCATTTTCCCAGTCAAGGTAAACAATTCAATCACAAAGGGAAGTAAGCAAAAATAATGTAGTGACATGTACATAAACATGAAAAAATTATATCAATAGGCGGATATTAGACCATATTTTTTCATATAAACTTTGAGCTTGTCAAGTATTAACAAATGGCCAAACATACACGGCCAACGATTGTCAGTTCTAATTGATCTCTTATGATTAGACATGATGAACAGAAAACTATATAACCCTAGCACAGTGGTGATAGCTGTGTACATAAGTAATAGGTTGCCGGGGGACGGAAGGCGGGGGCCTGTTGTAATAATCACACAACAGATCCCTGGGGTGGGGCGGGGTTTGCGGGGGCTGGGAAGGAGCGGGCAGGTGCCTCAATTGGAGGGTTCTAAGGTGTGACTGGAGAGAGGAGAGAGGGAAAGTGTCTAAAACGGAGAGGGGACTTACTGGCGAACCTGGCACTGCGGGGAATGAGCCGGACCAACAGGGAGCCTCAAGTGGAGAATTGGAAGGTGTGTGAGAGAGGGTAACCAAAGGTAGATAGCAAGGCTAAAACAGCTCCTGGACATGGATGGCTGGTGTCACTATATATAAATTATTGATGGTCAAAGGTGGATAGAGAGGGAATGTCGTCAGGTAGTCCAACGGTCTGTCTGTCTATCCATGTTGAGTGGGAAGGAATCTGAACTGAAAGACAGAGAGAAAAAATGAAATGTGCGAATTACATATCAAGTTGTTATGTGTGAAGACACATATTACGTATTGATAGCTCTATCTATGCTTAAAGAGACACCGATACCAATAAATATTGAATTAAACACGCTGAGCAAACTGAAATCCATTTGTTCATACCTTTACCAAGACAACACCCAAAAATTCATCTGCATCTATCTATTGCTGTAATTGACATTTGGTGCTTCCCGGTTTAAACAACATCAACGACAAGGAACATGGATTCTCCTATCAGAACACAGGGCTCAGAGTCAGAGGTCATCCTAGTCATCATAAATAGGCCTATTCTTGGAAGGGCGAAGAAAAAATGGTTGCTTTTAAGGACAAGCAGGCTAACCCTGATTTCGGGGGTTTCCAGAAATCTTGACCTACACCAAAAGTGAGCATTGTCCTACCTATAGGGGAAGTTTGGTTTCATTGGTGTGTATATTTTTTTGGTTATAAAGAACCAAAAACTTGAACTTCGCTTTTCTCAAAACAGCATTTTTCTGGATAGCCCCACCTTGTGCTCAAAGGCAACCAAATAAGTATTCAGATCCCAGTCAGATTCCAGTTTCCATCCGCCCATGATCTAGTACACGACCCGCAGCTGGTAGCCTGTGGGGAGGGAGAATGGCACCGTCACGACACACGTCATCATCATCATCCAGTGACAGATCTGCGGCAGACATCGGCGATCATGGTTCTAGTTCTCCTCTCCATTCATTCTTTTGCTCGGATGCTCTTCAAAAAAAGCTACGTTTCCCTGATCTTTCCCTGTTACCCATTTGTTTAGGTTCCCTAAGTAGGTTGCTCTGGGCCTTCCCCTGCCTCGTTTGCCTTCAATTTTGCCAGTGAGAGCTGATGTTCAAGACCCTTATGTCTATTCAGAGGTCCCAGGAACTGCATTTGTAGTTTCCTGATTGTTTCTAACAGTGCTTCACCAAGCACCAGCTCATTTGATTTTTTTTCCTTTTCCTTCCACGATACTCTTAGCAGTCTCACAAGACACCACATTTCTGTGCTTCTATATTTTCATTGTCTTTGCCGATTGTCCCTCATTCACGGATATACAGAAGGGTTGACCATACATAGTATAGACTAATGGGGTGTGCCCATTGGCTCGATCGGTTCTGTTCTGGTCAGTGGCCGTGGTAGTGAAGGGCTCACGGGCTTGAGCCCCTCTTCCCTCCCCGCCCACCACCACCAACTCTATCCCAAAGTAAATGAAAGTTTCTCCATAATGAAATAAGCAGTTGAAACTGTTATGCCCACACGCAATGAACAGAGTGATCAACTTGGCGGCTTGCTCTCTTATCCAACCACTGTTGTCCCCGCTTACAACTATAGAATCTAGTATCCCAGCAGCCAATCAAATGTCTTTAGGGCTCAGCAAAGGATGAGCTCTTTCCCACGGCCCGTCCTTAATGAAACTCTTCTTGTAAAAAAGGTAAAAGACTTGAAAAAAGAACACTGTACTGAGGGCTCACGCTCTCCTAGCCCTAACAATGGGGTGAAAGTTTACGACATACTTTCCTCCACTGATACAGATACCTATGCGCTCACTGGTTCTTAATTGGGTGCGTTCAACTTTTTCGACTACACGGCCTAATCCAGCTCATAGAAGTATTATGTTTGAAGTGCTGTGTGTGTGCATGTTTGTGTTTGTGCCGCTAAGATTTAACAGTTATAAATCAGGTCGAACTACTTTTAAGGCAACTTTTTCATCGCAAGAAAATTAATTAGAAGGAATTTGGAGGGGAATCAGCTTCGTCCCCACCATCAACAAGAGATTGAAAACAAAAATGTAACTCTTCTCGAATCGTTTGAACGGTTCTCAAAATGCCGTGGCTCACTATGAGTGTAGAAAAATCATCACTGTTTAGTTCTTATT